GGTGGGTGACCTCTCCTTCATGTCCTGGTGGTGGGTGTCCTCTCCTTCATGTCCTGGTGGTGGGTGACCTCTACTTCATGTCCTGGTGGGGCGTGACCTCTCCTTCTTCATGTCCTGGTGGTGGGTGACCTCTCCTTCATGTCCTGGTGGTGGGTGACCTGTCCTTCATGTCCTGGTGGTGGGTGACCTCTCCTTCTTCATGTCCTGGTGGTGGGTGACCCCTCCGTCCTCTTGTCCTGGTGGTGGGTGACCTCTCCTTCTTCATGTCCTGGTGGTGGGTGACCTCTCTGTGTCATCCCAGTGGTGGCCACAGTGACCTCCCCTTCTCCTTGTCCTGGTGGGCAGTGACCTTTCCCTTGTCCTGGTGGGAGGTGACCTCCTTCTCTCCTTGTCCTGGTGGGCAGTGACCTCTCGCCCTCCTCATCCTGGTTATGAGTGACCTTTCCCTCTCCTTGTCCTGGCAATGGGAGACCTCTCCCTGTCATCCCAGTGGTGGCCACAGCGACCTCCCCTTCTTGTCCTGGTGGGCAGTGACCTTTCCCTCTCCTTGTCCTGGTGGGAGGTGACCTCCTTCTCTCTTTGTCCTGGCAGTGGGTGACCTCGCCCTCTCCATGTCCTGGCAGTGGGTGACCTCGCCCTCTCCATGTCCTGGCAGTGGGTGACCTCTCCCTCTCCATGTCCTGGCAATGGGTGACCTCTCCCCCTCCCCATCCCGTCCTCCACCCCTGCTCACTTTGTCCCTCCTGTCCCCCGGCGCAGGGACCGGGCGCCGTTCGTCTTCACCTCGGACATGGCGTACGTCATCAACGGCGGGGACAAACCCTCCAGCCGCTTCCACGACTTCGTGGACCTGTGCTGCCAGGCCTACAACCTGATCCGCAAGCACACCCACCTCTTCCTCAACCTGCTGGGGCTGGTGAGAGCCGAGGGGCCACCAAATTCCCCTCAGAGTGGCACGGCGGGTCCCTTTGTCCCCTGTCCTCACCGCTCTCCTCATCCCTGCCAGATGCTCTCCTGTGGCATCCCCGAGCTCTCCGACCTGGAGGACCTCAAGTACGTCTACGACGCGCTGAGGCCGCAGGACTCCGATGCTGACGCCACCACCTACTTCACCAGGTAGGGGACACGGGTGGGTGAAGCGATATGCGGAATAAATAAATAGACTCCACAACTCGAGGTAGTTATGAAGTGGGTATGTATGACAGCGCCTGGCACAAGTGAGATAACTCTCCGAAATCTTGTGCCCCGAGCTGAAGTTTGTCCCCCGACTTTATTCACAAAGGTGTTCCATATGCAATAATTACACAATTTTTCTATGCATATTCAACCCCTGGCCCCGCCTGTCTTCGCTTCTCATGCTAAATAGGTCCACGCTCTTCTGGGCATGCGTAGGTTTTTGTGGGGTTTTTTATGGGGGTCCCTGGTGGTCTTTTAATTGTAATCTTCATCTTCCTCTGCATTGAACTTTTGAACTCTCCTCCTCTGCGCTTGCGCTTTTGGTCCTTTGCTCTCCTATCTGGATAAGTTCATCATCCTTGACATGTTGGAGACAGAGGGACTTCCTTGTCTGAAAGTCTTAGCATTCTTTGTCCTTTCTGGTATTTGTCTTTTTGCAAGAAGCTTTAGAGATCTTTGTTTTTCTTTCCTATGCCTTTCTGTGCAGGGGTTTCTTAAAATTCAACACACGATTCTACAAACATGATACATTCATTTTTGATATATTCATTTTTGATACATTCTTTTTATACATTTATTTTTGATACATTCATTTCTGATACATTCATTTTTGATACATTCATTTTTGATACATTCTTTTTATACATTTATTTTTGATACATTCATTTCTGATACATTCATTTTTGATATATTCATTTTGATACATTCTTTTTATACATTTATTTTTGATACATTCATTTCTGATACATTCATTTTTGATACATTCATTTTGTTAGTTCAAGTGATCTCTGGAAAACCTTTTGTTTCATGGGTGACACAGCAGCGGCTGGAGGGTCCCTGGGATGGTGGCACTGATGACATGGTGGCCTCGTTGCAGGTTGATCGAGTCCAGCCTGGGCAGTGTGGCCACCAAGCTCAACTTCTTCATCCACAACCTGGCGCAGATGAAGTTCACGGGCTCGGACGCCCGGCCCACGCTGTCCTTCGCGCCGCGCACGCACACCCTCAAAACGTCCGGCCGGATCCGCGACGTCTTCCTCTGCCGCCACGAGAGGGTCTTCAACCCCAGCAAGGGCTACGTGAGTGGGGACAGCTGGGGACGGGCCCAGGCTGGGCTCGGGGTGCCCCAGTCCCCATCCCACCTCACGTCCCCACCTCTCTGCAGACCTACGTGGTGAAGGTGCAGAGGGACAACCCGGGCGAGGTCACCTTCGTGCAGCGCACCTTCGAGGAATTCCAGGAGCTGCACAACAAACTGCGCCTCCTCTTCCCCTCCTCGCTGCTGCCCAGGTACCCCTGAAGCCCCTCAGGACCTCCAGGGACTCCCCAAAACCCCCCCGTGACCCTCCTGAGTGTCCGTCCCCACAGCTTCCCCAGCAGGTTCGTCATCGGGCGCTCGCGGGGCGAGGCGGTGGCCGAGCGGCGCAAGGAGGAGCTCAACGGCTACATCTGGCACCTGATCCACGCCGCCCCCGAGGTGGCAGAGGTGGGGACACGGGCTGGGGGCTGCGGGGAGGTGGGGACAGCGCCAGGGCCACCAGCGAGGTGGGGAAGGCTTGGGGACAACGCAGCTCGTAGAGCATCAGCGCGTGCCCCATGTGGGGCATCGCAGCGTGGCCTCGGTTTTGAATGGCGGGGATGTTGTCACCGCTGTCACCGCTAATGTCACCTCCTGACCCTGCAGTGTGACCTCATCTACACCTTCTTCCACCCCCTGCCCCGGGATGAAAAGGCGGCTGGAACCAACCCGACCCCAAAGCCGGCAGGTGGGGAAGGGATGAATCCGGGGGTGATTTTGGGGGGTGATGGCAGGGGGTGACATCAGAGGTGTCCCATCCTTCCTGTCCCCCTCTCCAGACGCCACGTGGGCTCGATCCCTGGGCAAGGTCGGCGGGGAGGTGAAACTCTCCATCTCCTACAAGAACAACAAGCTCTTCATCATGGTGATGCACATCCGAGGGCTGGTAGGACCGCGGCGCCCACGGCAGCGGGGTTGGGGGGCTGTCCCCTCCCTGCGCTCACAGCGTGTCCCCACTCTGCCCCACAGCCACCCCTGCAGGACGGCAACGACCCCGACCCCTACGTCAAAACCTACCTGCTGCCCGACCCCCAAAAAACCACCAAGAGGAAAACCAAAGTGGCCCGAAAAACCTGCAACCCCACCTACAACGAGATGGTAGGAGGCACCGCGATGGATTTGGGGCGTCCCCATGGGGTGGCCGTGGCTGAGGGTTTGTCCCCTGTGGAAATCACATTTCTCTCCCTCTCAGGATTTTTCATAGGGGGAAATGAAAGAGAAAACAATTTTTATTTCTGCTCCTTATTTTTCCTATGTAGAATGTGTTTAGAGAATTGTTTACCTGGAGTGAGTGCTTAATTAAATTCTAGTGAAGATTGTTTGAGCCTAATAGCCAAACCAATCCACCTGTGTCTAAACTCTCCAGAGAGGGTCACAAATTATGTTAGAGAAAGTAGTATATAGTTTTAGTACCCTCCTTTTATATAACATATTAATATATTTTAACATAGTTATAATAAAGAAACAATTCAGCCTTCTAAATTAAGTCAAACATCGTCATTTCTTCCCATTAGGTTCACCTACATTAACAATAGTCCCCTTTGTGTCCCACAGCTGGTGTACGACGGGATCCCCCGCGGGGACCTGGAGCAGCGGGAGCTGCGGCTGAGCGTGCTGAGCGAGGAAGGATTTTGGGAGAATATCCTTCTGGGGGAGGTGGGAATTCGCCTCCGCGACCTGGACCTGGCCCAGGAGAAGATGGGCTGGTTCGCCCTGGGCTCCCGCGGCCACGGCACCCTCTGAGCCGTGTGTGTCCCCCGGGTGTGTCCCCAAAAGGGCGCTGCCCAGGTGGCTTCTTTTTTAAGTTTACCTTGTGTCAAGGGAGCAACGCGGGGAGGGTGGGGCGCGGGGCGGTTCGGGGGTTATTTCTTCCTTTGGGATATCCGTATTTTAATTTTTTTAATAACGAGTAGAGTGAGCACCGGGGAGGAGGGGAGGGGGAGGTGGCACAGGGGGGTCAGGGGGTGTGTGGACCCCCTCCCACCCAAGGAACCGGGCAATTCCCACCGCGGGGAATTCGCTCCCAAAGGAGAGCGGCGTGGCGAGTTGCCCATTCCGTGTGGCTGCCGGCCACCCTTGCTGTCCCCGTGTCCTGGGGACATCTGTGTCCTTCCTGCCTGCCCCCGGGTGCGGGCTTGGTGCCTGTGGTGCTTTGTTTACAGCGACAGCTCCGTAAACGGACGAAATGTTTCTCAGGATCGAGAATAATTAACTTTAACCTTTATATTAAAAGTTTTAAATATTGGATCTGGTGGCAAGTTGGGGCGTGGGGGGTGGGCTGGCTTCTCGAGGGTGGGCAAGTTGGGACCCTCCGGTGTCGAGACCCTGGGACACGGGAATGGGATTAAAAAAGGGGATGAAAGGCAGAGGGTGGCACATCTGCCCCTCTGCGCGCACATCTGGGCACACATCTGGCCACTGCACCCTGTAGAATGTGGAGCCCTGGGGGTCTGGGGTCTGCCTCCTTCAACCCTCAGCTCCTGTCCCAGTGCGCTCCTCAGCCCTTGCTGTCCCTGGGGCTGACAAAGTGTCCCCAGAGTGTCCCCAAAATGTCCCGAAGTGTCCCCAAAATGTCCCGAATTGTCCCCAAAGTGTCCCCGAAGTGTCCCGGGACAAGCCCGGGTGTGCCCCCCCCGCGCCGCCAGGGGGCGCTGCCGCGCGCCGGCTGATGCAATCCCCGCGGGGCGTGGCCACACGGAGAGTGGGCGTGGCCCCGCCGACACCGCCCAATGGGAGGCGGTGACGCCAAGTGGGCGGGGCGATGACAGCCCCGCCCCGCCCCTCCCTCTGGGGGCGGGAAGCGCTGAGGCGGCGGCGCCGCCATTTTGTGCTGAAGCTGCCTCAGGATGGAGTCGCAACCTACACCGGAGCTGCCCGCCGCCCGCCGAGCCTTCAGCCTCACCGCCCCGCCGCGGAGCGCCGCTCCACACACCCCTCCGCACCGCTGGCAGCGCTGAACGCCCTCATGGAGCACCGCGCTGGCGAACGCGCCGGCCCCGGTTTGGGATGGGCGCGACTGGGGCTGGCCGCGGCCTGGCCGAAGCTGGCGGCGCCCAGCGCGGCGGGTTCATCGCAGGCCAGCCCGCCCTTCTCGTGGCTTCGGGCAGTGTCGCAGCTGCTGTCGCCGCTGCCCGCCCTCCTGCAGCGGCTGCTGCCCGGCGCCGCGCTCAGCTCCGCGCTCTGCCCCGCCACGGCTCCGCCGCCGCCGCTGCTGCTGCTGCCCAAGGACGCCTCGGAGGAACCCCCGGAGAAGCGGCTGGAGGGCGGCACGGAGCACCCAGCGGGGATAATGCGGGGCAAGCTGGGCGCCCTTCGCATGGATTGGTACGTGCTGGGCTTGGAGCAGGGCAGCAGCCACCTGCCGCAGCCCCTGCGAGCCGAGGGTTTGCCTGAGGTGGAGTTCCTGCGCAGCAAGCGCCTGGCGTTCCTCCAGCGCTGGCAGCTGCCCGTGCCCGAGCCCGACCACGGCTACCACAGCCTGGAGGAGGAGCAGCAGCAACAGCAGCAGCATGGGGGTGTCTGCCGGGAAATCGCGGAGCAACGGGACAATAGCGAGGATTTGCAGCGCCCCGAGGATGCGGGGACACAGCCCGGAGGTGTCCCCGTGGGGCAGCCCCATGCGGCTGGGGAAGGCTTGGCTGAAGAAAAACGTGAGGACTCAACGGAGCGAAACTTCCCCGTTTCCACCAGACCTGCCTGTGGGAATAAATTAATCGATTATATCATCGGAGGAGTATCCAGTGGGGAGGAGAGTGGGGATGAGGAAGATTGGGATGATGATGATGATGATGATGATGACGGGTTTGACAGCGAAGAGCTGCCCTCGGACTCAGACGCCGACAGCCAGGACGGGGAGAGGCTTCATCTGTGGAATTCCTTCTACAGTTTGGATCCCTACAACCCTCAGAACTTCACAGCCACCATCCAGACGTCTTCCAGCGAGCCGGGAAAGGGAATGTCGGACATGGAGGAGGAGGAGGAGGAGGAGGAGGAGGAAGACTCGTGGGCAGAGTCCTCCGAGGGCTCTCCGAGTTGCGAGGAGGACGAGTGGGACTGTGAGAGCGTGGATGAGGCAGAAAACTTGAAACTTTGGAACTCGTTCTGTAGCTCGGACGATCTCTACAACCCTTTGAATTTCACGGCGGCCTTTCAGACAGCGGAGAAAAAAGGGACGCCGGTTTTCCCAGGGGCAGAGAGGGCGATTTCTGTCACCTCGGAGCATTTCTCCGTGTGTAGGGTACAGCTGGAAAAACACAACTGCGGGAGCACTGAATTGGGGCAGCGCAGGGAGAAAACTGCGAGTTCCAAGCGGAAAAAGGTAAGGATTTTATTAATATTTTTCTGGTTTGGGATTGTTAAAAAAAAAGCCAAACAAACAAACCCCACAGTGCGCCAAGTGGGGGTGAGGTCAGCGTTCCAGATCGTGCTTCCATATGTGCTGATCATTTCCCTGGAATGCTGCGCCTCATCCTTGGCAGGTGATGGGAAATTCTGAGACTCGCTGACAACCGGGGCAGAGAATTTTCTTTCCCTAGAGTCCGACTTCGCTTTCCGTTTTGAGTTGTAATTTCTGTTCTATTTCCTCTTGTAGTTTCGACGTCAGAGAAACGCCAGGGCTGGGGTGGAGATTTTTTAACTCCAGAGCTGTGAGGAGTTTCCCTGAAAAGCACCAGTTAAAAGGAAGTTATTTAGGACCTGAAACCGAAAAAATTTTTAGGATTTTTTATTTTTTATAACCCAAATGGACTTGTTGAGTGTTCTGGAGTAAACTGAGATTCCCATATAAATCATTCCAATATTCCCATTCCCGTTTAAGATGTTATTAAACAGTATAACATTAAATTATGTTATATATAATATAATATAATTAATATAATATAATATAATATAATATAATATAATATAATATAATATAATATATATAATTGATATAATTGATATAGTTTATAATATAATATATAATATTTATATTATAAGTATGGGGTAGTTATTTATAGAAAGGATGTAATCAAAAACTGGACTTTTGAGCCCAGATTAATTTGATTTTTTAAATAATTTGGGCAATAATAATAATAATAATAATAATAATAATAATAATAATAATAATGCCTGTGCTGGGATGCAGATAAACAGGAATTCATCCTAAATTTTGTGGTGCTGCAGATGTTCCAGGTGGATGACTTGAATACCAAATCCCTGTGCAATCCAGTGGTGGAACAAATCATGCAAACAGCAAATATTTACAATTCTTTCGTATTTTTTACAGCAGATACATTTATTTTTCTCCCTTATTTTCGATGAATAATTAATTTGGAGCACTCCCAAGTGGCAGGGCTGCGGTTCCAGCAGGAATTTTGGGCTCAGGTACTGTGATGAAAGAAGGGATGAGCTGGCTGCAATATCCCAAATGACGTCAGAGCCTCGGGAATTGTGGCTCCGACTGATGTAAAAAGGCTGCAAGGTGGGGACGGGCTGATGTAACAGCTCCTAAAGCAGAGCCCAGGCACATTCCCGGGAAATTTTGGGATTATCCAGCCAGCTCAGGGCGGTTCCCCGCTGGAATCCTGCAGCGTTTTGCTCCTAAAGCCATAAAAGCTTTGGCTTGGCTGCACTTCGGCCTCAGCTCAGCTGGGAGGGCACGTGGCACTGCTGGCCCTGCTCCCACGGGTTTTTGGGATCAGGGAATTCCTGGATCCTCTGATTTTCGGGGTCAGCTTTTCATCCTAACCCCCCTGGGATAGTGGGAAGTGTCTCATGGAATGGGATGAACCAAACCCTTGTGGAATTGCAGATTTTCCTGACCCAAACCCTTGTGGAATTGCAGATTTTCCTGGCCCAAACCCTGGTGGAATTCCAAATTTTCCTGACCCAAACCCTTGTGGAGTTCCAAAATTTCTTGGCCCAAACCCTTGTGAAATTCCAGGTTTTCCTGACCCAAACCTTTGCAGAATTCCAAATTTCCCCGACCCAAATCCTTGTGGAATTCCAGATTTTCCTGACCCTAACCCTGGTGGAATTCCAGATTTTCCTGACCCTAACCCTGGTGGAATTCCAGATTTTCCTGACCCAAACCCTAGTGGAATTTCAAATTTTCCTGATCCAAACCCTTGTGGAATTGCAGATTTTCATGACCCAAATCCTTGTGGAATTTTAAATTTTCATGATCCAAACCCTTGTGGAATTGCAGATTTTCCAGACCCAAACCCTGGTGGAATTCCAGATTTTCCTGGCCCAATCCCATGTGGAATTCCATATTTTCCTGATTTCTGGGAAGGTTGGAAGCTCCCTGCAGCACAAACACCCTTTTGCTATTAAATCCTAGGGATGGAGCAGCACTTATTTTTTTGTGCATTTCCATGTTTTTTCCTGCTTCCAGGAATATTTGTCCTGTAGCAGAGTTTTTGAGGAATCAATCCTGATTTTAGAGGTGCTGACAGTTCAGTTTGTGCCTTTTTATAGCTGAATGCGAAGGCACAAATAATCCAGCAGGAGCCTAAAATAAACTGGGTTTTACTCAGATTTAAACCCATACCATAATCTTAGTCTAAACGCTGCCAAGTGCAGATCTCGAGCCTATAAATTCCTTTATTTACTTAAAATAGCTGCTAAAACCAGTTAAAAGTGACAGTTTGGTGTGTATATTTTTAATTTCCTTACATAAGCCCCACCCCTTGAAATTCCAGGAAGGACTGTGACAGTTTTGGTGTGTACATTTTTAATTTCCTTACATAAACCCCACCCCTTGAAATTCCAGGAAGGATTGTGATAGTTTTTATGTGTATATTTTTAATTTCCTTACATGAACTGCACCCCCTGGAATTCCAGGAAGGATTGTGACAGTTTTTATGTGTATTTTTTTATTTTCATTGCATTAACCCCATCCCCTGGAATTGCAGGAGGGATTGTGACGGTTTTTATGTGTATATTTTTAATTTCCTTATATAAACCCCACCCCTGAAATTCCAGGAAGGATTGTGACAGTTTTGATGTGTATATTTTTAATTTCCTTACATAAACCCCACCCCCTGGAATTCCAGGAAGGATTGTGACAGTTTTTATGTGTATTTTTTTATTTTCATTGCATTAACCCCATCCCCTGGAATTCCAGGAAGGATTGTGACAGTTTTTATGTGTATTTTTTATTTTCATTGCATTAACCCCATCCCCTGCAATTGCAGGAAGGACTGTGACAGTTTTTATGTGTATATTTTTAATTTCCTTACATAAACCCCGCCCCTGGAATTCCAGGGCGGTTGTTCCGGTCACGTTGGGATGAGTGTTTTCCTTATCTGTCCCCATGGTGACTCACGGAGCTCTTGACTCAACAAAACCCTTCTGGGGTTTTGTTACGTAATCCTCAGGGATCCCACAGTTCCAGGAGAGATCCCACAATCCCAACAGCTGTCCTACAGTTCCAGGAGGGATCCCATAGTCCCAGCAGGGATCCTACAATCCTACAGTCCAGGAGGGATCCCAAAATCCAGCAGGGATCCCACAGTTCCAGGAGGGAATCCCACAGTGCCAGCAAGGATCACACCCTGACATCCTCTCTGACTCCCGACTGCTTCTTCTCTCCCCCTCTGCCCAGGGCTGTGCTGTCTTTTATATGGTACATTACGTGTTACATGGGTACAGTTTTCCCCAATGCCCATTACCTATATTAAATGGTGCCTTTCTACTCTAAACCAATCTGGGAGTGCCAACATCACCAAGAACATGGAGGGAGGGAAGGAGAAAGAGGGAGGACAGGGCAGGCCCAAATCCCTCCATCTTAAACCTCTGACCCCCATGTACAAAACCAAAAACCCTGTGGGAATCCTGGTAGGGGTCAGGAACCCCCCTGGACAGAGCCCCCAGAGACACTGGCTGTGATCTCTGCCCATGGAAAAGAGTTTTCAATCTTACAGGATCAATTACCAGCTCTGAGTGTTTGATATAAGCAATAATTAAGTGTGGCATGGGTGCAAAAGTAAAATTTTAGGATTCTGGATTAGGGGTTCAAAGGGGACAAGATGGAGGAAATTGGGTGTGCCTTGTCCTTTTTCTCCTTCTTCATGCCCTCCATGTTTCACTGTGGTGTTGGCATTTTTCTGTTGGTTCAGGCTGGGGACACACTGTCCAACGTAGGTGACAGATATTGGCACGTTATTGTAAATCCAGCACAGGTAGTTTGTGGTATTTAATGTTTGTACCATCCCACTGAGGGCAGAGCCCCACACGCTGCCCTGCAGGACAGAGCTGCGGCAGGGCAGCAGAACATGTTAGAGATAAACAGAATAAACAACCTTGAAACCAGCACAGACCAATTATGGCTTCTGCTTTGGCAGCGGGGCTGACAGACAGAAACTTTTTACAATCTCAAAATCATCAATTCCTCAAATTCCGACAAAACCCCCCTGTACAGCACTAAATATTCTTCCCTCTACTTTGTAACTACTTCCACTCTAATATCTAAACTTTTGTGACTTCTTGTTCTACCTGCAAGGTTGGTAAATCATTCCATGGCTCAAACCCAAAATCACAGCTGTTTCCAGCTGCCTGCCAGGGTCTCAAATACTTCTGACCTGGGCCTGGAACATCCAAAAATGTCTGAGGGACATTTTGAATTTGACAGAGCTTGATTTGATGAGAATTCCTGATGGAAAGTTTTCTTTTTTCCAGGTGACATTCCATGAAGAGGTGACTGAGTATTACATCAGCAGCGAGGAGGACCGGAAGGGGCCGTGGGAGGAGATGGCTCGGGATGGATGCAGGTTCCAAAAACGCATCCAGGAGACTGAGGAGGCCATTGCCTACTGCCTGAGCCCGGAGCACAGACTGAGGGTATTCCACAGGCTCCAAAAATTCCATTCCCAGAGGACTGACCCCCTTCCAGCACCTTCAAACTCCTGGAATTTGCCTGACCCTTAAATTAATGAAATCTCAACCACCAGTGGCAGCTGCATGTGCTGAAATGGGGAGAGGAAAAAAAATGGGATTTTATCTTTGTCCCTAATTTTTTTTCCCCCACTTTGATGTTCAACAAATTCTCCTTTTGATATCCAGATAAAACCCCCCAGAGCTCCCTGAATGGGTGTTTTAATTGCATTCCTGTTAATTAGCACTTGGGGTTCAATCCATTCCCCAAAAAATGCCTTTTCCTGCCGTACCTTGGGAAGTGTGGGGACTGTTCCGTTGGATTTTTGCACTTTGGAAAAACAAAAACAAAAAAAAAAAGACAAAGCAAAACCTATTTTGAAGGAAATATTTATGGGGTTCATTCCCTGGAATTGCAGTTTTGATTTAAAATTCCCTGAGGGATGTGCAGGTGAGGGTTTGTTTTCTTTTTTTTTTTGTGTTTCTCCTTTTTTTCCAGCTTCTCCAAAAGCCTCATTTTTAAAAATCAATTCCTTTAAGAGATTTTTTTCCCACTTTTTTTTTTTTTCTTTCTGAAATAATCCAATGTTTGAGTGTTTCTGGAGCTTTTTGAGGTTTGGTTTGATTGATTTAAATAATTCCCTTTTCCAGAATTATTCTGGCTGCTTGTCCCAACAAATTCCTTGGTTCTTAGGACAAGGAAATTCCTCATCCTAATTAATAATTAAAGCTTAATGAGGCTGTGGATGATGCTTGAATTTAGGGAGGAAAATTCCTGAATTATTTAATGAATCTTTGCTGTAATTCTGCTTTGGGAGAGGGATTGAAGTGAATTTTTATATCCAATCTCCTTGTCCTGATAATTTTCTTGGATTTAAGGAAATTATCTTGGATTTAAGGAAATTTAAAGGCAACAATTCCCCGTTTTCTTTCCCAAAAATCAGTATTAACTCTTTGTGTCTGCACTGGGGTCACCAAAAGCATTTCAGTGAGAGGACAAAACTCTTTATTTATTTTCTTAATTTAAAATATTTAATCAAAATCATTGAGGGAAAAAGGGGTTTGGAGCTGGAGGTTGGTGTGGGAATTTTCCAAGCAGGGAATAAAAATGGGAAAATTCCAATGTTTGCACAAAGCTGGGTCAATAAATCAATTATTTGTTCAGCTGGCCAGAATAATTTCCATTCTGTAGAAGAAAAACCTTTAAGTGCTTTAAATTTTTCCTTAATTCCTTCAGGTTTTAATTTGGAAGAAAATTATTTATTCCTGCTTTATCCTGACTTGAAAAACCCCAGAATTTTTGGATTTATCTTTTTATTTTTATTGCAGGAAGTGGCTTCTTTGAGTTGAAAAATCCCCTTTTTGTGGTGCAATTAGAAAACTCAGGGGATTCATTAACTTAGAGTTGTGTTAATTCAAATTCCAGCTGTTTGCCACCCCAAAAATTGTATTTTTTCCCTCAAAAATAATTAAAAATTTGCATCAACTCCTCAAATCCTGAGAAATCCACTTGGAATTTTTAAGGATTTTACTCACATTGGATTTGCTTTTTTAATTCAGGGGTGGAAAACCAACCAAAAAAAAAAAACAACCCAAAAAATGGAATTGTAAGAAGGAAAGTGTGTGGATTTATGATCATTCCAAGGAAAACACACTACATCCATTTTTCCATGGATCTCCCAGTTGGTTTTTCCCAGGAATCTCCCAGTCCCTGGAATTTTGGGATTGTGCTGCTTCAGTTCTTTATGGACAACTCGGATTTTTTTGGTGCTCAGGAGAACCTTGGGAGCGCTGGGAATCCACAGCTGCTTGGACAAATGGGATTTAAAGAAGGAACAGCTTCTTCCAAAAGGTTGAAACTTTGGAAAAATGCAATTTTTTAAATCAAAATTCCCATGGATGAGCTTTTCCCACTTCTCCAACCTCCTTTTTTCCAGCTATTCCAGCAGAAAATTGAATGGAATTACCACCAAACCCATCCCTGAACGCCTCAGAGCTCCCTTTTTCCCTCTAAAATTCCTTTAAAAAAAAATATATGGGAAGCAAAACTTGGAGGGATTTAAATCAAAACTGTGATCTGCAGATTTTTATTTTTGTATCATTTCGGGAAGAGTGTGGATTTGGCTTTCTATGGATTTTCCTTGATTTGTGGCCGCTTTGTTGGGTTTTTTCTACCTAAAAATTCTATTTCTGTACATAAGAAACTATTCAGGACTAATCCGTGCGTTGTAATAAAGAGATTTGCAAGATAAATCTGGGGAAAATTTGGGGGAAAAACGGCTTAAAAATCCAATTTTGAATTGGATTTCTCAGCGGTGAGAAGCTGTGGTTGTCATTCCATGGCTTTTGGAGCAGGGAATTCCATCCCAAAGCTGGAATTCCTGACAGGAGCTGGGAAATTTTGGGAAAATGATCCCAAAATTAGGATTGTCTGGAGGAATAAACTGGATTTTTCCAGGGATTCCCAAGGAATGAGATGAAGAATTTTTTGGGATTTAATTAAAATCCTGCTGCCACCTCCCTTTGGAAGTGACACCCCCAGAGTTCTGCTCCACCTGTGGGCGTTCCCTGGGAATCTCTGGAATTTTGGGGGTGTTTTAGGAAGAAATTCCAAGTTCCTGGAGATTTATTCCTTAAAAAAAAAGTTTCACTCAGAATTCCCACCTTGGAGCACAATCCAAGATTTTCCCCTCTTTGTTTTCACTTTGTTCATCCCCTAAAACACCCCAGGGTTGATTTTCATGATTATCAGGATAAAAAAAAAACTGCTGGAATAAAGAAAAAAAACAGAGAATTTCCTGCAGTATTCCAGAAAAAAAAAGGAAAAAAAAAAAAAGCTGGATATGGGGAATTTTGGAGTATTTTTAAAGCAGATTTTTAAATTCGGAAGAATTTGCTGCCTCTAAAATGAGCTTTAAAATGAAAAATGAAATCCAAGATCCCCCAGTGCCACTCCTTTTCCCTATCCCAGGGATGGGGCAGCCACGGATTCTCTGGGAATTCCACCCCAGCACCTGCCAGGGAGAATTCCTGCCCAATGTCCCATCTGGGCCTCCTCTGCTGAATCCAGCAAAAGCTCAGGATGTGGGAATGTGCCCCTGGAGGAGGAGCTGCTCTTCCTTCCTTCCTTCCTCCCTCCCTTCCTTCCTTCCTTCCTTCCTTCCTTCCTTCCTTCCTTCCTTCCTTCCTTCCTTCCTTCCTTCCTTCCTTCCTTCCTTCCTTCCTTCCTTCCTTCCTTCCCTTTTCCTTTTTCCCCCCTTTTCCTTCCCCCTTTTCCTTCTTCCCCCTTTTCCTTTTTTCCCCCTTTTCCTTTTTTCCCCCTTTTCCCTTTTTTCCCCTTTTCCCTTTTTTCCCCTTTTTCCCCCTTTTCCTTTTTTCCCCCCGTTCCCTTTTCCCCCCCTTTTCCTTCCCCCCCTTTTCCTTCCCCCCCTTTTCCTTTCCCTCCCTTTTCCTTTCCCCCCTTTCCCTTTTTCCCCCTTTCCCTTTTCCCCCCTTTTCCTTTTCCCCCTTTTCCTTTCCCCTTTTTCCTTTCCCCCTTTTCCTTTTTTCCCCCTTTTCCTTTTTTCCCTCCTTTCCCTTTTTCCCCCCTTTTCCTTTTTTCCCCCTTTTCCTTTTTCCCCCTTTTCCTTTTTCCCCCTTTTCCTTTCCCCCTTTTCCTTTTTTCTCCCTTTTCCTTTTTCCCCCCTTTTCCTTTTCCTCACTTTTCCTTTATTCCCCCTTTTCCTTTTCCCCCCTTTTCCTTTCCCCCCTCCCCCCTTCCCCTTTCCCTGTTCCCCTTTTCTCTTTCCCCTTTCCCTTTCCCCCCCCTTTTTCCCCCCTTTTTCCCGTTTCCTTTTTCTCCCCTTTTCCCTCCTCCTTTCCCCTTTTTCCTTCCCCCTTTTTCCTTCCCTTTCCCCTCCCTGCTCCCTCCCTTCCCTATCCCACAAAAAAGGCTCCCCAGGAGCCGAATCCGTGCCAGCCGTGCCCATTCCCTGCCTCTGGAACATTGGGAATCCTTTGTGCCAGGGAGGTCATTTAGGTTGGATTTGGGAAAAGCAGCTCCAGGTGGGAAACATTCCCAGAGCCGCAGGGGTGTTCCCAGGTGGATTCCAGGGAATCGCTGGGGGATGCTGTGGGATGGGAGCAGAGGGTGACCAACATCTCCCGGCGTGTCCAGGCCCAACATTCCCACTGGGAATGGCACAGGGAGCCCCAAATCGCCCGGAATTTCCAACCAGGTGGGAAGAACAATTCCGGCTTTTCCCGGGTTCTGCTCCAGCTGGGAATGAATGCCAGGAGGGAAGCAGAGTTTGGGATTGTGGCTGTGGTGTTCCCAGCCTGGAATCCAGCCGGGACCTGGGGCTGGGGCACACCGGGAATGCCAGGGACGGAATTCCCAGAGAATCCCTGGCTGCTCCATCCCTGGAAGTGTCCAGGGCCACATCGGGCAGGGCTTGGAGCACCCTGAATCCTTCAATCCCATCCCAGCCATTCCATGGTTCCAGCCCAGGAGGGGACATCACTTGGGGACAGTGGCAGCACCGCGTCCCTCCTTCTCAGCCGCATTCCCGATTTTTTTATTATTTTTTTTTCCCGGGAATCTTTTGTCCAGAAGGTGGTGCCAGAACCGTTCGGGACGCGCCGCCGCCGAGGCCACCACCTCCTCTGAGGTTGTCCCCAAGGTGTCACCACCTCCTCTGAGGTTGTCCCCAAGGTGCCACTGCCCTGCTGAGGTTGTCCCCAAGGTGCCACCGGCCCCGCTGGGGTTGTCCCCAAGGTGCCACCACCCCTCTGAGTTGTCCCCAAGGTGCCACCTACTCTGAGGTTGTCCCCAAGGTGCCACTGCCCCACTGAGGTTGTCCCCAAGGTGCCACTGCCCCCTCTGATGTTGTCCCCAAGGTGCCACCGCTCCCTCTGAGGTTGTCCCTAAGGTGCCACTGCCCTGCTGAGGTTGTCCCCAAAGTGCCACCGCCCCCGCTGAGATCCCCAAGGTGCCACCACCACCTCCTCTGAGGTTGTCCCCAAGGTGCCACTGCCCCCTCTGATGTTGTCCCCAAGGTGCCACTGCCCCGCTGAGGTTGTCCCCAAGGTGCCACCACCCCCTCTGATGTTGTCCCCAAGGTGCCACCACCTCCTCTGAGGTTGTCCCCAAGGTGCCACCGCCCCTCTGATGTTGTCCCCAAAGTGTCACCGCCCCCGCTGAGGTCCCCAAGGTGTCACCGCCCCCTCTGAGGTTGTCCCCAAGGTGCCACCGGCCCCGCTGAGATCCCCAAGGTGCCGCCGCCCCCTCTGAGGTCCCCAAGGTGCCACTGCCCCCTCTGAGGTTGTCCCCAAAGTGCCACTGCCCCGCTGATGTTGTCCCCAAGGTGCCACCTCCTCTGAGGCTGTCCCCAAGGTGCCACCACCCCTGCTGAGGTCCCCAAGGTGCCACTGCCCCACGTTGTCCCCAAGGTGCCACTGCCCCGCTGATGTTGTCCCCAAGGTGCCACCGCCTCTGGGGTTGTCCCCAAGGTCTCACCGCCCCCTCTGATGTTGTCCCCAAGGTGCCACCGCCGCCTCCCATGTCCGGACGAGTTTGGGGACAGGAAAGCGCAGGGCGGGAGCAGCGGCCGCCCCGGTTCTGTGACATTCCTGCTGCCTGAGCCACCCGCGCCAGCAGGAAATGTCCCCAGCCGGGCTCGGTGTCCCTCGGCCGGGTCACCGCGGGCTCGGTGTCCTCCCTGCGGGGGTGACAGCGCTGTCACCGCGCCACACGTCCCCTCTCCAGCCGCTGCCCTCCCCGTGTTCCTCTGTGGGGACATCGGTGCTGCCGGGGACATCCAGGGAACGGACATCCGGGAAAGGGAAGGGAAATCCGGGAAAGGAAAATCCGGGAAAGGAAAATCCGGGAAAGGGAAATCCGGGAAAGGAAAATCCGGGAAAGGAAAATCCACGAAAGGAAGGGAAAATCCAGGAAAGGAAAATCCAGGAAAGGAAAGGGAAATCCAGGAAAGGAAAGGGAAATCCAGGAGAGGGAGATCCAGGAAAGGAAAGGGAAATCCAGGAAAGGAAAGGAAAATTCAGGAAAGGAAAGGGAAATCCAGGAAAGGAAAGGGAAATACGGGAAAGGAAAGGGAAATCTGGGAAAGGAAAATCCAGGAAAGGAAAATCCAGTAAAGGAAAATCCGGGAAAGGAAAGGGAAATCCGGGAAAGGAAAATCCAGGAAAGGAAAGGGAAATCTGGGAAAGGAAAATCCAGGAAAGGAAAGGGAAATCGGGGAAAGGAAAGGGCAATCCGGGAAAGGAAAAAAAAGTCTGGGAAAGGAAAGGAAAAAAAAATCCAGGTAGGGACAGGAAAGGAAAGGAAAGGAAAGGAAAGGAAAGGAAAGGAAAGGAAAGGAAAGGAAAGGAAAGGAAAGGAAAGGAAAGGAAAGGAAAGGAAAGGAAAGGAAAGGAAAGGAAAGGAAAGGAAAGGAAAGGAAAGGAAAGGAAAGGAAAGGAAAGGAAAGGAAAGGAAAGGAAAGGAAAGGAAAGGATGCCCATGGAATGGAGCTTTTCCAGGTGAAACAATGCCCAGGACGGTGGCAGCGCCATCAGCTGCTCTCCCTGAGGCACCAACCAGACGTGTTTTTCTCATCCAGTGGTTCAAAGAATTCCGGGAAAAGCTTTCGGGGAACTGGTTTCCCCAAATCCCAGCTCTGATGTGGGGAAAAACCCCGAAACACTTCAGTGGCCGTGGTGCTGCTGGGTCAAACGTTCAGTCTCTTCCAACCTTAATAATCCTAAAATCCCTGCTTTGAGAACCAAGGAGTTTTTGGGAAGCAGGAAATTTATTTTTTTTCATTTTTTTTCCACCTCTGGGGCCTCTCCCGAGCCAACATCTCCCTGCTGGTGCCACGAGCAGCTTTGCAAAGGCAGGAGGGCAAATTGGCTCCTTCATTCAGCCTCCCAGACCCCACCTTTGGCCTTAAAAGACATTTAATTGAGGGCTGCGAGAGAAAATCCCCGCTGGGCAGCCCCAAAAGTGCCGCAGATCATCATCAGGGTGCCCTACATAGGGCTTGGCTGCGAGATCAGACGGGCCGGGATGAACCCGATATTGTTCCAAATGAACAGGAGGGGGAAGTAACAACTCCCTAATTACTCACCTCGAGTTAATTGATGGTAATTACAGCGAGTAGGCACTGGAGGAAGCAGGGGAGTCGCGGGGAGGGTTGGGAGTGTGCCGCGGCTCCGAGGGGGTTAAACTCCACGGGTTTGGTCGGGAATTCTTTTTTTTTTTTTCTTTTCTATTC